CTTAAGGAATCTATAGAAAAGCCACCAGAACAAGTCAATTTATCAAAATTATAGGATAAATGGTCAATATAAATCAATTAAATTTCTATACTACTAGCAATGGACAAATATTATTTTTAAAATGACAGCATTTACTATTATTTTTAAAATGACAGCATTTACAAAAACATCAAAAACAGTAAATACAGATAAATTTAATAAAATATGTGCAAGACAAAACACTGCTAAGAGAAATTACTTCAATACTATTAAGATATCAATCTCCACAAATTGATACATAGATTCAATACAATCCCCATCCGTAACCCAGGAGACATTTTGTAGGAACTGACAATCCAATTTAAAAACTTACATTAAAAAATTAGAGGACTAGAAATAGCCAAAACAGTTTTGGAAAATAAGAATAATTCTGAATGAATTATGTTACCTAATAACATGATGTATTTTGCAACTATAATAATCAAGACAGTGTAGTGTTGGGATAAACATAAATTTATAGTGGAACATTATAAGGAATTCAGAAAAAGACCTGTATATATGTGACCAATTTATTTTCAATAAAGGTGTCAAGATAAGTCAATGGGGAAAGAGCTTCATTTTTAGGGAAAAAAATGGGGCCTGAATAACTGAATATACGTTATGGAAAAAATAACCTTGACAACTACCTTAAAACATACACAAAATTTAACTTAAAATGTCCCATAAACCTAAATGTAAAAATTACAACTATAAAACATTTAGAAGAAGACATAACACTATCTTGTTTCAGATAAATTCTTAGAACACAGAAAGTATTAACCATAGAAGAAGTATCTGATAAGATTTTATCAAAATTAAAATCCTATGCTCTCAGAAAGACATATATATCATTTAAAAATGAAAAGGTAAACCACAGATCCAGAGAAAATTTTCCCAATACATATTCCTGACATAGAACTTGTATTCAGAATATAGAGAACTATAGAAACTCATAATAAGGCAAGTGACACCCTCCCAAACAAAAGATTTGAAAGGTATTTTACAAAAGAATTTACACAAATACCTAACAAGTATGAAAAGATGCTCAACATCATTATTAAGTACAGAAACATAAATTAAAACCACAATGAGATACCATTACATGCTACAGGAAGACATGAACTTAACAATTCTAATAATACCAAGTGGTGGCAGGATGCAGAGGAACTGAAGTCTTATATATTGCTGGTGGGGACAGAAAATGCTACAACCACTTTGGAAAACAAAGTGTAGCAATTTCCTATAAAGATAAGCATACAATCACAACATGACCCCACAATTCTACTTCTAGTTATACCTAAGAGAAATAAAAACATAAGACATATGCCCATGAAAATACATCTTTTTTAATGGTCTTGGTGGCTTTCTTACTCATGGCATCCACAAATTAGAAACAATCCAAATGTCCATTAACAGGTAAATGAGTAATGGAGGTATATTCATATTGGAAAGCCATTTAGCAATAAAAAGGAACAAATTACATGTTCACACAACATAGATGAACCTCAAAAATATTATACTGAATGAAAGACATACACACTATTGTTTGATTCCATTATATACCTAGAACAAGTAAAACTGTAGTGGATAAAGATCAGTGGCTATGTAGGGATAGCTGTGGAGAGTATTAACTGAAAAGCAGCATGAAGAAACTTTTGAGATGATAAAAATGTTTTTTTTCTTTTTTTTTTTTTTAAGAGACAGGGTCTTACTCTATCACCCAGACTGGAATGCAGTAGCATATTTACAGCTTCCTGCAACCTCTAACTTCTGGGCTCAAGGGATCTTCCTGGCTTAGCCTCAGAGTAGCTATGACTATGGGCGAGTGCTAACAACCCCCAACTAATTTTAAACATGTTTTTTTAGAGCTGGGGTCTCATTATGTTGCCCAGGTAGATCTTGAATTCTTGACTTCAAGTGATCCTCCTGCTTCCATCTCCCAAAGATCTGGGATTATAGGCATGAGCCATTGTTCCCAGCCCCTTGTCTTTCTTAGGGTGGTAGCTACACAGGTATATACATGTCAAAACTCAAAAAATTAGTTTATTTTGTTATACTTAAATTATACAATAATACAGATGACTTAAAAGAAAATAAAAGACAACCATGCTGATCTAGTGCTAGTGATTTATCCTTCAGACATGCAACTAAACACCTGTGATCAAATACTGATGTATTATAAATGTATGTTTCAGCACTGTTTGTAATAGCAAAAAGTCTGAAACATCCTAAATGCCCTTCAGAAGAGACTGATTATGATTATTTCAACTATGATACATGCATATAACAGAATACTATTAATATGTAGCTGTTAAAGAGAATCTAATGAGCCTCTGTGTACTAATAAGAAAAAAAAGTTAGTGAAAAAGAGCAAGGCACAGAACAGTATATATTATATGATTCAATCTTCCTTTTAAAGGTATCTACAGTATATACATTTTTAAAGGTTATATAAGATATAGACACAAATCAATAAAATCAAAATCTGATTCTTTGAAAAGGCCAATAAAATCTATCAACATCTAGCCAGAATGAAGAAGAAAAATTATGACATAAATTACTAATACGGAGTGCCCAACCTTTTTTTCTTTTCTGTCTATGGCACATTGGAAGAATGTCTTGGCCCACATATTAAATACACAAACACCAAGAAAAGCTGATTAGGAAAACAAAAGGTCTGTGCATACTTTTTTGTGATATAGGAAACCACATATAACAAAAAAACCAAACCAAACCAAAAACCTCACAAAGTCAGCATGCAGCCCATGGGCCATAGGTTAGACACTCCTGTACTAATGTCAGTTATGAAAGAGGAGACATCACTACAGATCTCACAGGCATTTAAAAGATAGTAAGAAAATATTATGAATAACTTTTTATCCACAAATTTTACAACTTAGATGAAAAAGTAAGTCCCTGAAATATAAAAATACTAAAATTCACTCATGAAAAAATAACCTGAGTAGTTACTAATGAAATTAATGTTATAGTTTAAAATCTAATAAAGAAAACTCTGGCTCAGCACCTGTGGCTCAAGTGGCTAAGGTGCCAGCCACATACACCTAAGGTGGTGGGTTCAAATCCAGCC